TTTTTTTTGCCTGATAGTCTAACGCACATGCACTAGAAAACTACTTTTCTTCTTCTTTTGACTGCTCTGCATATCCTCCTTCACTATTTCCATGAATTTCCACTGTCATCTTCCTCTTTTCCTCCTGCCTGACGGCTCCGTCTTCAGCATCCTTTGTCCAGTATATCCACTCTCCCTCCTCTGCTCATGTCCAGCCTTGCCTCTTTAACTTTGTCTCCCAAATATTCAACTTGAGCTGAGCTGTCAGTCTGAAGTACTCAGTGAATGACTCAGACCCACACGGCGTTCAGTAACTGTTTAGTCACTTTTATTTATATGTCACACACCCAATGTGTTTAGATCGGCACTGCTAGTTCAGCCATGGCCAGTTTTCCAGCTGGCTCCACGCTCACACTGCCGGTCCCCGACATCACTAAAAGGGGAAAGAGAGTTCATCAGCCTAATTCCCTTCACCTGGACCTCAGCCTCCCTGACACTGCCCCTCGAGCCCGCTGAGCCAAAAACCACACCCCTGCCACATACTCATTTCTGGCTTTGTCCATTCTGGTCACTTCCACTGAAAATCTTCTAACTGGCCCCCAGTCTTTTTGTCATTGTCTCCACACCATACATCATAGCAGGTCTCACTACCATCTTATAGATTCCCTTTCAAAAACATTCATATAAGAAAGTCTTATATGAATTATAAGCATGATCTTATCTTTGCTGTGATGTGAAGTTAATTATTAGGATAATAATGTTGTTTCCTGTTGTTATTTTCATTTTCCCTCCAGGCGAGTCATTTGGAGACAGAAACGATCTCCTATGAGGAAAAAGAGCAGCAACTTGTCAATGACTGTGTCAAAGAAATACGTGAGTGGCTTTTTTTGTTTGTTTGTCTCCACACACACACACACACTCTTTAAAAGCAGTATGGCCATGAGCCGTATTTTGCTGAACACCTGTTCTCATTCCCAGGCGATGCCAACCTGCAGATTTCCTCTCTGGCTGAAGAGCTGGCTAGGAAGACTGAGGACGCCTCCAGACAGCAGGAGGAGATCACACACCTCCTCTCCCAGATAGTCGACCTCCAGAAGAAGGCCAAGCTTGTACGAAAGTCCCGATCTCTGTCTTAGATTACATTAAACGCCAAAAATACTTTGAATGCAGTCGGTTTCACACCCGTTGTCCTGTTTTGTCTGCCGTGTTGTCAGTATGCTTTGGAAAATGAGGAGCTGACTCAGCACTTGGGTGCAGCCAAAGACGCCCAGCGACAACTCACTGCTGAGGTAGGGCAGTCCAGGGCCTGGTCACCATGGCAACAGCACTGTGTTTTCTGCATTGCCAGCTGCT